ATATGCTTATAAAACTTGCACATGAGACCAAGCTGGGAGGGGTTGCAAGCACTCTGGAAGACAGGATTAGAATTCAAATTGACGTTGATGAATTGATCCGAATTCAACAAAATGAAATTCAATAAAGAAAAATGCAAAGGACTTCATTTAGGAAGGAAAAATCAAATGCACAAACATAAAATTGGAAACAGCTGACTAGGGGATAGTACTGCTGAAAAGGATCTGGGGGTTACAGTGAGCCACAAATTGAATGTGAGCCAACACTGTCATGCAGTTGTAAAAAAGGCAAATATCATTCTGGGTTGTATTAACAGGAGTGTCGTACATAAGGCATGGGAGTTAATTGTTCCGCTCTACTCAGCACTGGTGCAACCTCAGCTGGGGTACTGTGTCCAATTTTGTGTGGCACACTTTAAGAGAAGATGTGGACAAATTGGTAAGCATCCAGAGGAAAACAACAAAAATGCTAAAAGGTTTAGAAAATCTGACCTATGAGGAAAGGTTTAAAAAAACAACCAAAACCTGGGTGTGTTTAGTCTTGAGAAAAGAACTGAAGGGGGAGCTGAGAAGTCTTTAAATACGTTAAGGGCTGTTATAAAGAGGACAGTGATCAGTTGCTCCCCATGCCCACTGAAGATAGAACAAGAAGTGGTGGGCTTAATCAGCAGCAAGGGAGATTTAGGCTAGATATTAGGGGAAACTTTCTAATTCTAAGGGTAGCTAAGCTCCGGAACAGGCTTCCAAGGAAGGTTGTGGAATCCCCATCATTGGAGGTTTTAAAAAACAGGTTCTTCAAGGATGGTCTAGGTTTACTTGGTCCTGGCACAGCTCAGGGACAGGACTTGATGACTGCCTGAGGTCCCTTCCAGCCCTACATTTCTATAATTCTCTTGACTTCAGTGGAGCTGCACTGATTAACACCACCTGAGGCTCTGGCATCTAAATTACTGGGTTTGCATTCATGTAAGACAAATATTTTTGTTCTGTACTAAGAAAATCTCCTAACACAGACACAGCAGTGTGACCTTGAGAGGACAAAGCCTCAAAGATGATGGGGTGGAGGGCTGCTTGGATAGAGGGGTGGAGAAGGGTGGAGCTAAGCCCTGGAGAGGTTTAACTGGGTGGATTTCTTATCTCTGTGGTTATTGTTTTGCGTTTCCTTCAATAGTTAAATGACTTTTTCCATAGTTACATGCTGACTGTATGCTTTTACACGCATTTTAACAGCACAAATCCCTACTCATGATTCACTGGGCAATGTTGCTCGCTCTCAGATTTAAGTCAGTGTGAGTTTGATGCTCATTTCAACACCGGCACAAATATGCAGCAACTTCTACAGTATGTAGTCTGGACCAGTGTGCCCATGAGGGAACGTTAGCTTCTGGGGAAGCACTTGTTCTGTTAAGTAATTAGACTATAGGGAGAAGTGTTGCCAACTTTTCTGATTTTTATTGCAAGTCAATATTTGGTGGTGGCCAATTTTTTTAACGGCCTAGTTCTTGGAGTCATGGGATTATGTGAGAATCTCAGTTTTCATTTAAAAAAAATTCTGGTCCTCATGGTTGTGGAGAAAGGGGTCACGTTTGGAAGCCTAACCTCTTGATATCTCGTGTGTTTCCTCTTCTTGATCTGCAGGGACATATATTTTGACTGTGTCATTCTTAGCTTAGTAATAGAGGAGATGGATCAAAAGGCATTCCAGCAAGTAGCAAGCAAAAAGCGGATGGCTTTGGGGCACCATTATTTTCAAAACAACATTTTGATTTTGACTTTTATTGCTGACAGAAGCATAATCCATGGTGACTCTGACACACGGTTGTTCCTGTGAACGCACACAAAGGTTCCTTTGAATTCACCAAATAATACATTTAAGAATTCAGGCCAAAGTGACGCCCCTCGTGCAGTCTTGATTTAGACATAAATCCCACCATGCTCAGTGCGCCTTTAGGGATGTGTACACAAACCCAATTTGCTGTAGTCATTTGGGAGATTATGTGACCATGCCATCTCCCCACCCCAGAAGCATACATGGGTAATAGTGCCCTACATCAGATTATCTACAGGGAGTGAACCCAAGACCTCTGTATCTAGAGGCGCATGCCATGCTGTTGCTTGAACCTATGGATCAGGGCTTTTAGGTGGGCAAAGCTAGCAGACTCCTAAAATCTCTTTGCAAGCTCTAGCCACAATAGGGGAACAAAGTCTTACATTGGGGTTGCACAAGCTTACAAATTTGGGCTGGAGTTTCTGTCTACCTTAGGTACTTTTTGGCCCTCATTACCATAGCATTTGAGCACCAGCCAGTCTTTAAGTGATTTGTCCTCATAAAGCCCCCAAGAGGCAGGAGAGTGCTATTATATCTCCATTTTACAGATGGGGAACTGAAGGACAGAGGTCACTGGGGACGTTTTTGACAGATAAGAGAATCAAATTCAGGTCTCCGGACTCCTAAGCTAAAAGTCTAACCACCGCACCATCTTTTCCCTTTAAAAAGGCTCCTTGCGGTACCTGCATGACTGTCTGAGCTTCCCAGTAGCTGACACAGAAGATTAATTTTGATTAGCTTTTCCTAGTTAGGGAGCAGAGGGTCAAATGGATGTCATCTACAGTGAGGAGCCCCCTCTTCAGCTGTCTTCCATGGGGCTCTTTACACTGTTACGTGAGGTCTGGGGGAATTTCTGACTACCCCTGAGTTTTCCAGCTGGTGAAAGTGATGTGGGAAGGCTCCAAAAATAGCAGACTCCTCAGAAAGGAGAGAGATTGCACAGTATGAGTGAAGAGATAAGGATCATCCAAACTTTTCTGTCACAGGAATTTTTGTGTCTCTCCTATGCCATTTGGTGGGGCTTAGTTCATGGCAACAGCAAATGTGCTGTGACCTCTCCTTTTCCTTATAAACAGTGCTGACTCAAAGTGGCTTAATGGAAGGTGCGGGAAAGAGAGAAGACAACAGTACAGTCAGATAGACTGTAAGAAAACCTTTTGCAAGGGCAGATAACCATTTATCTTTAAATAATGACTGTGTTTCATAGTGCCATTTTAATTTCAAATTTATGACAGAGGCACATGCCATATTGGAGAATGACGTTGCTATGGGGCTGGATTGAAACAATAGCGTATCAATGAGATGCAGAGGGAATCCTTTGAAGCTGGTATGGTCTATTGTGTATCAGTAGGGGGTCTTTAATTCACATTTGCATTGCAGAATAGAATCAGTGGTCCCCAACCTTTCTTGTGGGAATAGCATATTGCTATTCCCAGAAGACTGTGGTGGGCGCCCGACACCCCACCGCCAAAAGAAGCATCGCCGCCGAAATGCCGCCGAGAAATGGCAATGCTTTTGAGTGAGTATTTTTCCCCCTACTGTTACACACACCTTCTTGTCAACTGTTGGAAATGGGCCATCCTGTTTATCACTACAAAAGTTTTTTTTTTTTCTCCTGCTGATAATAGCTCACCTTAACTGATCACTCTCGTATAGTGGGTATGGCAACACCCATTTTTTCATGTTCTCTGTGTGTGTGTGTATATCTATCTTCCTACTGTTTTTTCCACTGCATGCATCCGATGAAGTGAGCTGTAGCTCACGAAAGCTTATGCTCAAATAAATTTGTTCGTCTCTAAGGTGCCACAAGTACTCCTTGTTCTTTTTATAGTATTTAAAAGTTCCAGCCACGATTGGGGCCCCATTCTGCTAGGTGCTGTCCATTCACACAGTAAGAGACAGTCCCTGTTCCAAAGAGTTTGCAATCCAAATAGACAAGACAGACAAAGGGAGGGAGAAAAGGAAGATTACTATCTCTGTTTTACAGATAGAGAAACTGAGGCACTGAGCCATTTATGTGCCTCGCTCAGGAAGTCTGGGGCAGAGCCAGGAATTGAAATCAGATCTTTTGAATCAGCCTTAGCCACAGATCAGTCATCTTATGGTTTATGGAAAATGTCTGATTTCAAATAAATCCAGAAAAGAAAACCATACATTACTGCATGTCACCTTGAGAAATGAGTTATTAGGTTTTTCTTTTTTTTTTTTTTTAAGAGGAGCTCTTGACTCTTAAGTGCATGCTGTACTCTGTATGGCACAGAAAAAATATTTTGGTTTAGACAGTGTTTTCTTTGCTTAAGATGCATAGTTCTGTTCTTCAAGCTGCTCTGCTCCCGGAATTCATAGAAGTCAGATGAGCTTCATTTTGTAAAGCCTATCTTCTGTTTACTCAAGGAAGCAGGGCTTCTCAACATTTCAATCACAGGAAGGCAGGAGCTATAGATTCTTTCAGTCACCAAAGTCTCCTTCGGCAATGTTGTTTGTGGAAAGGTTAAACCCTCATGTCTCTTTTATTATTATGCTATTTGTAGTGCTTGCTATGGGACCCTGAGATGTTCTTTATATTTAAATAATATGAAGGAATAAATCTGTCCTGACTCCCCTCCACCAGCCACAAGCTGCAAATTCAAGCTTAGCATACCAGACCTAGCAAAGATAAGAAAAATATGCAGTTGGAACTTCTAGGACCAAACTCAAGGCCACGTTTCTGCACTGAAAGGAACGTGTGGTGAGAAAGTGCCAAAAAAGCAATAAGAAAATGTCAAGCAAGGCTCTCTTTGTGATTTTTGAATTCAACCCAGGTCAGAAATGACACTAAACCTTCACCATGTGATAGCTGTTTGGTGACCTATGTCCAATGCGTTGGTGACCTCTCTCCAATTCTCCATGGCCTAGTGTCCATGGAACAAAACCACCTCCCCAGTCAGCACCCTGGCTGGTAGTCTCAGCAGAGAGGAGAGTGAGCACGGAAAGTGAGCCATCCTCTCAGCTAGCAGAGGTGTGTTGGCAGGGGGAAGGAGGGGGAAGTTTCAACTACCGCTGCCCAGGCTGTGCCACCGAAGAGGTACCGCTAAGAAAGGACTTGACCCCAGCACTTTTAACAAGCGCTGGAAAGTAAGCACCAAAGAGACTCAGTCAAGGTACTCGCAAAAAGAACAGGAGGACTTGTGGCACCTTAGAGACTAACCAATTTATTTGAGCCTGAGCTTCCGTGAGCTACGGCTCACTTCACTGGACGCATGCCGTGGAAAAAACAGTAGGAAGATAGATACACACACACACACACAGAGAACATGAAAAAATGGGTGTTGCCATACCCACTATACGAGAGTGATCAGCTAAGGTGAGCTTGTTACATATGGCCAGGCAAACTCTGCCCTCGGTCTGCAGTGGAACCCCCTGGGGTGCGAAGGACAGTCATCTTCTATCCTCATGCATAACTTTTCCACTAAAATAAGGCTCAGTGTACTGAGCTATGAGTCTATGAGCTGTAGAAACCAGCCCATGTCATTAATGCCAAGAGACATGACAATCTCTGTGATGACTCCCCTGGCCCATACCTTTTCCACATTCTCGCCATTCATCTTGTCTCCAGTTCAGACAAAGCAAGAGCCAGTGTGAACCATCATATAAAAGTCCAAGCATATCTTTCAGGTCCTGGAAGGTTCTATTCAATTTTTAATAGTTTTTCATTTGCATGTTCTTCTGGATTCCATGGCCCTGGATGGGGCTCAACACCAAACGATAGGCTTTTCTTATAACACATCTTATAGACCCACCTTTATAGACCCAGCACTTCAGAGAGAAGAGATGATGTTAGGGTTAGAGCTGATCAAAAAGGAGGAAAACTTGAAGAAACAAAAGTGAATGTTTTCCCATTTTTTAAAAATTTGAAACTTTGAAATTTCAGATTTTGAAACTGATAGGAAAATGGAATGGGATGGAAAAGGAATATTTTTTGAGTCAGGAGCAACTGAGAATAGGGTTTTTGAAATAATGAAAATCTCAATTTTTGTTTCTGTTTTGAATTTTGAAATTTCATCAAAATGGCAAATTGACATTTTTCAATCACACACATTTGAATAAGCATCCAAACTTCTGTGAACTTAATGAAGGCCTGAATCTTTCGAAGACCTTCACGATCATTAATACAGTGTAAATTACCCAAATGGAAAATTATTTTAAAAGGTTTTGTGTAGGCCTGGCCTTATTTTGATTAATCACTTGGGGCCAGATTCAGATACCCTTATTCATGCTGAATAGCACCTAGCTTTGTGATTAGTCCCTTTGAAGCCAGTGGCGTAAGGGGTCTGCTGAATAGATGCTTTACAGATGAATAAAGCACTGTCCCTGGTCCAAGAGGCTTTTAACGGAGTTCAGAGACAGACAGAGGAAACAAATCAGACACAAATAGCAGACAGATGGTGTTTCGACAGGAGTTGGAGTTGGTGTCCGAATTTAGGACATGATCCTGCTTAAAAGGCTTCACATAAGCATTGTCTTTTTAGGAAGGCTTTGGAGGAGAAGAATGAGGGTGCTTGGCACATAGACAGAGGGAGACTTCCAAGTATAGGGGGCAGCACAGAAGGTCAGCAAAGGGCCATAGGCTATTCCATTAATTGCCAGTAAGGTCGCTAGGATCCAATCTAAAGGCCACCGAAGTTAATACACAGATTCCCACTGGCTTTGGATTGGGCCCATAATGAATTTAATATTCTGTCATTAATAGATAACCTCCTATGCAATTTGTCCCTGTCCGTACCAAGTTGTTAATTAAATTAGTATTGTTAAAGTCCTGTGTTATGTACTCTGGCAGGCACTGCACTGGTAAGTCTATTCAGAGAGTGCTAGAATCCACTGCCAGGGAGCAAGATGTGAGATGGTCCATCTGTGTGCATAGCATCCATTGCATGTGCAGATGGGTGGCCAGAGTCCAAAGACACATCCTTCCCCGCTCCCCCAGCTTCTAACAAATTCAGCCCTGCTAGAGACCAGCAACAATGGTCGCAAGATAAAATGTGCAGCTGTCTTGGGATTATGTGAAGGACGTGGCTTTTCCTCAACTGCGGAGAGAGGGGCCGTTTGTAATGAACGTGCTAGAGGACAGGTTCAGTCCTGCAGGCGAGGATTGCAATGTAGATTCCTTAACATGGTTAGTCGGACAGTCCCCTCTACAATCTTGTTGTAAAGCAGTTTACTAGTTGGGTTGCTTGGTACAGTTATTGGAAGGCCCTGTGGGTCTAGAACCCAACCGTGTAGAATGACACGGTAACTGTCATTTCCCAGCTGTAATGAGTTTGGGCTCCACTTCCCATGACCCCCTGCGGACACACAGCAGAAGTTCCGCCTCGAGCGCCTGACCGACAGAAGCTTCATGGCTTCTGATTGGCTCCCTGCTCTATATAAGCCCAAGGGGTACTCCAGGAGATGTGCAGGTAACAGTGTGGACCTTCTTTAGGTGCCATGAGTGGGTCTGTTCCTGAATTTCTGGCTTTGACCTCGACTTGATTTGGAGTTTGCCTCATGACTTGGACCCTGAATCGACTCTGGCCTGGAACCTGACTACAAACTGCTTGGCTACTCCTAGCCTTGGGTTTGCCCCAGCTCTGGCCCTTGACCCTGACTGCCCTTGTTGGCATCCTGACGGTTGTGGTTGTGGAACCAGATTTTCAAAGGAGCTCAGGACCCAGATCGGTACCTAAATGAAGTGACCGGACTTTCAGAATTGCCCAGGATCCATTGGCTTCTTCACCTGGGTGCCTGAATAAGAGCTAAACTAATTGAAAATAACTGCCCCAGTTGTGAGTGCTGAGTATCTTTGAAAATCAGATCCCATAGTGTAGACAAGCCCACAGGAAATCTCTGCTCCAGAAATGCCCTTAGATGGAAGGGGTGTTGAAGGCTAAGCAGGCTATTGCTTTAGGTAGGCTTGTGGGGAAACATGCTAGGCCATATTGTAGACCAGTGGTTCTCAAATGTATTTGATCACGCCCCCTTCTTTGTGTCTGTAGTAGTTTACGCTGCCACACAAATACATACACCAATATACGCAGTGTCGGTGCTTCGCTCGAATCAGTTTTGGCTCTGTTTTTCGCTTGAGAGGTGGTTCTTTTTTTTTTTTCTTCTTTCTGTTGCATGAACAAGCCAACAACAACCCCCTGTAAAAGAGCAAAGGCAACATTGTGATTGTGGTCCATGCTTACAATTAAATGTGCGCAACGCGTCATAGCGAACAGATTAATGTCTGGAGGCAATGACTTTGTACAATGCTATGCAAGCTTAAACAGAAGTCTGTCAAAATGCACAGCGCCAGGTGAGAACCTGATGCATCTGGAGGAATCAGCTTTGCTAGTAGTTCATGGCTGTGAGTAAGATGTGCACCGTAAGGTTTTTTATTTTTTCTAAAGCTTCTCATGCCCTCTCCAGTTTGCGAACCTCTAGTCTAGACTGTGGCTCAGATCTTCCACTGGTGTAAAATCAGCAAAACTCCAACTGACATCAGTGGAGCTATACCACTTTACATCAGCTGCATGGGCAGCATGTGACTCCTGCATTTGGGGAGCCTGTGTGGAAGTGCCAGAAGCCCCCTAGAAGTGAGGGGCCACGCCCCTTGCTCTGCCCTCTGGCCTGCCTCCACTTGGCCTCCTCACCCTGAGGCCCTGCCCACACTCCACCCCAGCTCCACCCCCAAGGCTCGCGCCCACTCTACTCTCTCCCCCAAAGCCCCCTGCCACTTGCACCTCTTCGCTAGAGCCCTGCGTGGATACAGAATTCATATCTGCAAATATAAATTGGTATCCACGGAACTGCAGGGCTCTACTGGGAACTGCAGCAGTGAAAACAGCAGCATGTCGGGTCACTACTCCCAATAGCCAGCGCTGCGTGCCAGGAGCTCTTCCAGTGTAGCTATACTGCCCGCAGCCCCGCCCACCAGAGCAGGCACCAGGCTCACCAGCAGCTGTCCCTGGTCGCGCTAGTGTGGGGCTTTCTGGAGATAGTGTACTTGGGCTCTCAGAAAGCCTTTGACAAGGTCCCTCTCCAAAGGTTCTTAGCAAAGTAAGCAGTCATGAGATAAGAGGGAAGGTTTTCTCATGGATTGGTGACTGGTTAAAAGACAGGAAACAAAGGGAAGGTATGTATGGTTAGTTTTCACAGAGAAGAGAGGTAAATAGCAGGGTCCCCCAAGGATTTGTACTGGGACTAGGGCTGTTCAACATATTCACAAATGATCTGGGAACAAGTGAGGTGGAAAAATTTGCAGATGATACAAAATATAGTGAAATCCAAAGCTGAGTTCTCCAAAAATCCAAAGGGATCTCCCAAAACTGGGAGAGGAGGCAACAAAATGGCAGATAAAATTCAATGTTAAATGCAAAGTAATGCACATTGGAAAACATAATCTCAACTATACATACACAATGATGGAATGTAAATTAGCTGATCTTGGAGTCATTATGGATAGTTTCTGAAAACATCTGCTCAATGCACAGGACTCGTCAAAAAAGCTGACAATATTAGGAACCATTAGGAAAGGGACAGAAAATAAGACAGAAAATATCATAATGCCCCTATATAAATCCATGGTATGTCCACACCTTTAATACCGCATGCAGTTCTGGTCACCCCACCTCAAGAAAGATCTATTAAAAGTGGGGAAAGTACAGAGTACCCTTTGTTGTCTAAGGGTATGGAACAGCTTCCATCTGAGGAGAGATTAAAGAGATTGGGACTGAAGAGCACTCTAAGCAGTGGGCTATGAGGGGGTCTGATGTGGACTTTCTCAATCTCTCCTGTTGAAGCTGATTGCACTCTGGATAAATAATTATGGAGTCATTGGAACAGGAGCACTGGAGCCTGGGTCTCCCACATCCTGGGTGCATGCTGTTATCATGAGGATACACAGTCATTCTCAAGCTTGCATGTGTTCTTTCTCTGGCCAAAATGGCTCTTTAAAAGAGGGAACATACATGAGTGACTCTATCTAGAAGAAAAGGAGTACTTGTAGCACCTTAGAGACTAACCAATTTATTTGAGCATGAGCTTTCGTGAGCTACAGCTCACTTCATCAGATGTATACCGTGGAAACTGCAGCAGACTTTATATACACACAGAGATCATGAAACAATACCTCCTCCCACCCCACTGTCCTGCTGGTAATAGCTTATCTAAAGATAATTTTTGTAGTGAGGAGGTATTGTTTCATGATCTCTGTGTGTATATAAAGTCTGCTGCAGTTTCCACGGTATGCATCCGATGAAGTGAGCTGTAGCTCACGAAAGCTCATGCTCAAATAAATTGGTTAGTCTCTAAGGTGCTACAAGTACTCCTTTTCTTTTTGCGAATACAGACTAACACGGCTGTTACTCTGAAATCTATCTAGAAGGTTCACAGCTGAGAATCTCAGGCAGAGAGAGGACGTTTCCTTGCAGCCTGGACTCAGGGGCAGAGCTTAGCACATACCCCTGTCCTTCGCGTCTCTCATGGGCTAGCTTGGGCAGTTCCTGGCCCAGCATGCTGGCTTTTGTGAATTGCAGTCTAAGGCACCTATCTCTTCCCATGCATTGGATAGGAACTTAGGCACCAAACTCATGCTTTATGAATTGCTGTGATTTTTCAAGGCACACAACTGCTTTTGTGCATTGAGGCCCCAGGCCTTTGTCTCTAACCTTAAAGAAAAGTTTAAAAAAATGAATCCAACTGCCAAGTCCATTGAAACATCACTGTTTTGGAAAGGGGTGGTGGTCATGCTGGTTCCCACTGTCAACACACTGGCATCACTCCCCACAGATGAAGTAAAATGTATTGTGACTGTCACCAGTTATTGTGCCGTTGTGTGGAGGGCTGAGGCAAGTGCTGCTTTGCGCAGTGGGATTTTGCAGGAAGCCAAAGAACTCTGTTACAATACATTATTTCCTGCAGGGAGGGACCCCACAATGCAGGAAAACATCAGCATTTTTCAGCGCTCATCACTTGTATTTGGATGGCCCCACTAGTGCTGGCTGCTATATTTCATACCCTTCTCCGCTGTGCAATGGAAGGCCTGGGTAGTAATGACTCATCACTTTGCCTCCAACGTTACTGGGACTCCTGTGGTCTACAGGCTGCTCTGTAAGAGCTCAGCTGCAGCAGTTAGCTGGCATTACTCGCGCTTCCACTGTATTTGTGATGTTTGGAGAGGGCGGGCAGAAAATGGGCAGCAGGAACCTCTTTCCTGGATTCCTGCTGCTTACTCTATAGTGGGTAGTAAGCTGCTGTCTAGAGAATGTCAGGGCATCCGTGTGATGGTCTCTGACCTTTGTCACATGGGCTCTATATAGAGATGTGCTGAGACCATTAAAGTCCTGTGGTCAGATGGAGCCTGGAGAAAACCTGATGACCAGGAGGAGACCAACCACAGACATCCATGTCCAGTACTTCATTGCCCCTCCCAGAAGAATTATAGTGGCATGGGAAGGAAAGGACCCTGCCTGCTCAGGGTTTGGTGAGCTATTTCAGAGAGACTGAGGGTTTGTCTATACTGCAATTAAAAATCTGCATCTGGCTCAGGCTGCCGAGTCATTTAATTGTGGTGTAGATGCTGGGGCTGGAGCCTAGGCTCTGGGATCCTGTGAAGTGGGAGGGTCCCAGAGCGCGGACTGCAGCATGTCTACATGGCAGTTAAACAGCCCTGCAGTCTGAGCCCTGCGAGCCCAAATCAGCTGCAGGTTTTCAATTGCAGTGTAGACATGCCGAGGATGGTCTGGTGGTTAAAAGAAAAGGAGGACTTGTGGCAACTTAGCGACTAACCAATTTATTTGAGCATAAGCTTTCGTGAGCTACAGCTCACTTCATCGGATGCATACCGTGGAAAGTATAGAAGATCTTTTTATACACACAAAGCATGAAAAAATGGGTGTTTACCACTACAAAAGGTTTTCTCTCCCGCCACCCCACTCTCCTGCTGGTAATAGCTTATCTAAAGTGATCACTCTCCTTACAATGTGTATGATAATCAAGGTGGGCCATTTCCAGCACAAATCCAGGGTTTAACAAGAACGTCTGAGGGGGCGGGAGGGTAGGAAAAAACAAGGGGAAATAGGTTACCTTGCATAATGACTTAGCCACTCCCAGTCTCTATTCAGGCCTAAGTTAATTGTATCCAATTTGCAAATGAATTCCAATTCAACAGTCTCTCGCTGGAGTCTGGTTTTGAAGTTTTTTTGTTGTAATATCGCAACTTTCATGTCTGTAATCGCGTGACCAGAGAGATTGAAGTGTTCTCCGACTGGTTTATGAATGTTATAATTCTTGACATCTGATTTGTGTCCATTTATTCTTTTACGTAGAGACTGTCCAGTTTGACCAATGTACATGGCAGAGGGGCATTGCTGGCACATGATGGCATATATCACATTGGTGGATGTGCAGGTGAATGAGCCTCTGATAGTGTGGCTGATGTTATTGTGATGGTGTCCCCTGAATAGATAAATTCTATAAATTTATATAAATCTATAAATGCTTTACCTATTCAGGGGACACCATCACAGGGCCTAATAACATCTTAAAGCTTATGCTCAAATAAATTGGTTAGTCTCTAAGGTGCCACAAGTACTCCTTTTGTTTTGCTAACAGACTAACATGGCTGTTACTCTGAAACCTGGTGGTTAAGACGTTGATTTGGGCTGTAGGGGGTCTGTTTTCAGTTCCTGCCTCTGCCAATGACCATTGGCAAACGACGCTATCTTTGCGCCTCAGTCTCCCCTCTGCAAAATGGAATGCTACTCCTTTCTTTATGTAGATTGCAAACTCTTTGGGACAGACTGTCTTTTATTGTACATGTACAACTCCTAGCACAATGGGGCTCCTGATTTGGGTCAAGGCCTCTGGCCACAAACTCTCAAATTCAGAGGTCTCTACAAGCTGTAACATGTATTACAAGTGTCAGTTGAGAAAGGATGGACTTTTTGCTTGATTTAGGCTTTTGTAGGAATAATAGACTTGCAATTCCTGGTTGAGATTAGGGTCTCATTTGGGCCAGGGGCTGTACATGCCTGCCACTTGCATTCTAAATAGACAAAGGAGTGGAGGGATAATGAGTCTTCTTTCCCCCAGGTTACAGATCGGGGACTAAAGTATAGAGAGACTGTGATTTGCCCACAGCCCTGCAATAAGTCTGGAG